CCCCGAACACGAGGAGCCGGGGAGCGAGTGGGAGCGGAGTAAACACCGCTCCGGTCGGATGTGTGTCACGTTCACGACATTCCAGAGCGACCGGAGTGGAGGGGGGAGGGGCCCGGAGCAGAAGGACCCGCTGCCCAGGGTCCGGGTCAAGTCCTGAACCGGGTCTAAATCTGTCAGAGATGAAACGGCAGCAGGTTTACGTCGACCCTGAAAGAGTTCAAAAGCGATGAAGTGAGACGAAGAAGAAGAAGAAGTGTCTTGCCCGACGACACAACGTTTACATGAGAGATTTAATTCTGAATAAAAATTATTTAATTCCACTTTTAAAAAATCCATGTAAACACTTAAATCCAAATGAAAATGATTATTCAGAATTAAATTTACTGTATTTTCCGGAGTATAAGTCACAGCAGCTAAAAAATGAGTAATGAAGAAGAAAAAAAAACGCAAGTCGCATTTTTTGGGGGAAATTAATTTTTTTAAAATCAGAGACGAGGAGCCGACTTTTCCTGTTGAAAGTCAAGTTCTAGTAAAAACAATAGAACATAGAACGACAGACTGTTAACGTCACATATGAATCGAATCCGTGTGTCGTTCGTTCATTCGTTTTTCAAAATAAAACCAAAAATAAGAAAAGGAAAAAAAACAACAATTTTCTTCATTATTTGTCTCCGAAACCAAAATGAAAAAAAAAAAAACAGATAATGATTCATTTTTTTCAGTTTCTGATTTTGTGTTTAAATGAAAAATGGAAAAAACGAACCAGGACTGAACCAGGTTCGGGACCAGACCGGAACCAGACCTGGACTGAGACCGGGACTTAGACGGGGCCCAGACCGGGACTTAGACGGGGACGGACTTAGACGGGGCCCAGACCGGGACTTAGACGGGGCCCAGACCGGGACTTAGACGGGGCCCAGACGGGACTTAGACGGGGCCCAGACCGGGACTTAGACGGGGCCCAGACCGGGACTTAGACGGGGACCAGACCGGGACTTAGACGGGGACCAGACCGGGACTTAGACGGGGACCAGACCGGGACTTAGACGGGGACCAGACTAGGACTGTGTCCGGGACCAGGACCGGAACTGAGTCTGGGATCATCGGAACCACTGCGGGAAAAGTCTGGATGGTGTTTGTGTCCGTGGACGAACGACAAACCGAGACGACAGAAAACCCGGGAGCAGCTGAAGTTTGTGTTTTCTTCCGGTCGGCGTAGACACGATTTAACGAGTTTTCCATGTAAACCTCAATTCGGAATTATTATTTATTAATTATTATTTAATTATAATTTTTTATTCAGAATTTAAAAATGTCACGTAAACATGGCCCGTATGACGCCGGATTTTGAAGACGACTGCTCTAAAAACTGAGTGAGCTGGAAGGTTGTTCACTTAAACCAGTGGTGCTCAATACGTTGATCCCGATCTACCAGTCGATCACCAAGGTCGTGTGGGTAGATCGCCGTGTCTCGTCTCGGACTCGCGTTTGGACTCGGTCTTGTCTCTCACTCGAGGTTTGACACTCAACAAGTGTGATCATATTTCATTCCGGCCGCTGCTGTTGGTAATAAACTTGTAGCGGGTGCAGGAGCGTGTGGGGCGTCTCAGTGCAGCCTGTGCGCTCATTTGAAACCCGCGGAGACTCTACGGCGCATCACAAACACACACGCTCCCTATGCACGGCTCGTCTGCGACAGCGTGTGTCCTCGTGTACCAGCGGGCATCACAGGGCAGGTTCAACTTCCTAAACATCCTACCTGTCCACCTGCCTCACGTCAGCACGCCGCCCCTCGCCTTTTCACGCTCTCGCTCCTTCCTGCGTACAGCCAACACAAGCCCCTCCCACAGTGCGGCTGATTAGAAGAACAAGACCAAACGTGAAGCAAAAACCAGTCTAAATTTGTGTTCCAGTGTTGGCACAAAGCAGGTCTACAGCATAGAGCGGATCTACAGAACAGACCTACTGCCACATTTGGCTGAAGTTTGTCTAACAAAAGTGACAAATGCATCTGTGTTTGTCACGATGTGCGTTTGGTTTGGTAAACGTGCAGAGGCTGGTAAAATATCACTGCAAAACCAGAAAAGAATGAAACTCCAGTTTGGAACTTTAAAAAACAGGTTTAAAAAAATCTTCCTTCACTTTTTTCACAGTTTTTGTGTAAAGTGCCAGAGGAAGTTCTCTTAAAGAAGAGGTTCTCAAACTGTGGGGGAGGGTCCAAAAAAGGGGCACAGAGTGTTTCAGTGCAGTTTGTTTGGCTTTGTATTAGGTCAGATCATTTTGACTTGGTCATTTTGTAAGTAACTCACATGATGAAAAAGTGTGAACATCTCTGTCTTAAACGTTTCTGAGCCAAAGATGTTCATTTTGTCTTCTTATAAACTTTATCTTCTTAGGTTCTTTTTAAAGACAATGCAGTAAAGTGTATTTACCTTGTTGACATGTTGCTGCTGCTGCATCTTCAGAACTGTCACCGGTGTTGGTGTTGACGTGTCGTATATCAGCTGTTGTTACTTCCTGTAGTCGTGGTCAGACCTGATGGACCTGCAGGTCGCTCAGACTGACCACGCCTCCCGTCGCCCGGTGTCTCTGGAGGAGGGTGTCCCAGGTGTGTGAAAGGAGGAACGCTCCGTCATCACGGTTAACGCTGTCCGTGCCTCGTTTCCTGATTTCACCGTCCTCCTTGATCCAGCGTTTGAACTTGTTGTTTTCTGATCCAATGACCCGAGCCCCGACCTGATCCATAATGTGGTTGTTCCTTTTCCAGTGTCTGATTTGGCGGATTTGAGGTTTTCCTGTTCTGTTTGTCTTTTTGTTCTGGTGAGTCTCCCTGACGTTTCCTTCTCGCATTCCTTTTGGTGAAACGTTTCCGGTAGAGGGTCCGCCACCTGCTTGAGGATGTTCTCCAGGATGACGTTTAATTTAACCATCTCCATGGAGACAAGCAGGCCTCATGACAAGGCCCGGTTCCAGGTCAGATCTGTGGAGAGGCGACCCCGCTCACAGTCAGAATATCTGTTTTTCTCTGTATTTTTGAGCTGTAAAGTTTCCTGCAATTGAATAAATGTAAAGTCGAGCTGTTTAAAGTCACACTGTGGAACATTTCAGGCAGAGCAGTGACGTCTCCAGTTTCCACACGATGTTGTAAAAATGTGAAAAACCAAATGCTCAAAAAAAAAACCCGAGTGAGACTTTTAACAAACCCAGCGCCGTGTGTTTGCTTCGTCTGTTTGTTGTTCTGGTTGTAATTCTGTTTTTTTTTTTTTCGCAGACGGCGCTTAGTTCATTTTTCCAAGAAACAAACATCCCGAGTCCCCATCAGATGGTCAGTCCTCCTCCTCCTCCTCCTCCTCCTCTCACTCACTCGTTCACTCCCTCCCTCCCTCTCCTCTCCCTCCTCCTCCCTCCCTCCTCTCCTCTCTCTCATCTCCTCTCCATCATTCCCTCTCTCTCTCTCCCTCCTTCACTCTCCCTTTCTCTTCCTCTCCCTCTCCCTCTACTCTCTCTCTCTCCTCCTTCACTCTCCTTCCTCCCTCCTCTCCTCCCCCTTCACTCTCCTCTCTCCCTCTTCACTCTCCTCCTCTCCCTCTCTCCCTCCTCCTCTCCTTCCTCTCTCTCTCCCTCTCTCTCTCTCTCTTCCTCTCCTTCACTCTCCTCCTTCCCTCTCCTTCTCTCCCTCCTCTCCTTCACTCTCCCTCTCTCTCCCTCTCTCTCCCTCTCCTCTCTCCTCTCTCTCTTCACTCTCCCTCTCTCTCTCCTCTCTTCACTCTCTCTCTCTCCTCTCTCCTCTCCTCTTCTCCTCTCTCTCACTCTCCTCTCTCTCTCCTCTCCCTCACTCTCCCTCTCTCTCCTCTCCTCTCCTCTCTCTCTCCCTCCTTCACTCTCCCTCTCACTCTCCTCTCTCCTCTTCCTCTCTCCTCTCCTCTCTCTCCTTCACTCTCTCCTCTCTCTCCCTCCTTCACTCTCCCTCTCTCTCCTCTCTCCTTCCACTTCACTCTCTCCCTCTCTCTCTCTCCTCTCTCTCTCCTCCTTCACTCTCCTCTCTCTCTCTCTCCTTCACTCTCCCTCTCTCTCTCTCCTTCTCTCTCCCTCCTTCACTCTCTCTCTCTCCACTTTGTTGTTTTTCATTCTTAATCCATGGATCAAGAATCTCTGACTTCCGGTCGTCGCTTAATTCACACTGGGAAGAATCTTCAGAAAAAGTGAACGTCAAACCTCCATGTTTGTTTTCCCAGTGGGACGTGTCTATTATTGTCAAAGTCGATCTTTTCAAGTCTTTTGAACCATATCACTTTTGTTTCTGGTTCTAATATTGTCATATTTTAGTTTTGGGATTTGGACATCGTAATTGTGTGGTTGTTGGATCCTAACAGCAGAAAACGGCCCGAGAAATGGGCTTTGGAAGTTTGAGTTTCAGCTTCACTTTTGTATTTATGGAGTTCGCAAACTGTTTCTCTTCCCAACGGAATTGAAAAATAGTGAAAGGTGAAGGTGATGGGCAGGATTGATCCACAGGAAGAACCAAAAAGGAAGCATTTGTCTGACTAAGAAATTATCCCAAGTTTACAGAGAACATTTTGTATGTGGAGCGACAACAAAACAAAATTTGTTAATGTTAAAGTTTGTTAATGTAGAGGAGCAGAAGACAAACAGACTGAGCTGCACTTTCTTGTTCTTGAGGTTTTACAGCAACATCACGTCTTGGTCTCTTTGCAGTGGAAGGTGTTTCTTGGTGAACAGTTGGAGCCTTTCACTTTGACGCTGACTTTTTAAATTCGTAACCGAGTTTGAGCGAGGGATCGGTGTTTTGTTTTGTTGTTGCTCCACATACAAAATGTTCTCTGTAAACTCGGGATAATTTCTTAGTCAGACAAATGTTTCCTTTTTGGTTCTTCCTGTGGATCAATCCTGCCCATCACCTTCACCTTTCACTATTTTTCAATTCCGTTGGGAAGAGAAACAGTTTGAACAGAGGTTTGAGTCACACACATCTGATTCACTTTTACATTTATGGAGTTCGCAAACAAATTTCTCGAGTCGTTTTCCGCTGTTAGGATCCAACAACCACACGATTAACGACGTCCGAATCCCAAAACTAAAATATGACAATATCAGAACCAGAAACAAAAGTGATATGGTTCAAAAGACTTGAAAAGATCGACTTTGACAATAGACACATTCCACTGGGAAAACAAACATGGAGGTCTGATGCTCACTTTTTCTGAAGATTCTTCCCAGTATGAATTGTGCCATGACCAGAAGTCCGGGATTTGGGATGCATGTATTGAAATAAAAAAAAAACTGACATTGTTAGGTATTGTTTTGTTTTGTTTTATTTCGTTTTCGTCATTGTTTTAGTCCGTTGTCGTTTGTTTTTATCCGTTCCGCTCTAATTCCTCCGTCTCTCCAGTTGCCGAGGAACACTCCCGCGACTCCGCCCAGTTTCCCCGACGCCATGGCGATGTTCTCGAACCTGCGGGCGTCGGAGTGCGGCTCGCCCCCGCCCCTGCCGCCGGCCCCGCCCCCCTCCTCCTCCTCCGCCGCCGCCCACCTGCACGCCCCGCCGCACCTCCACGCTCTCTGCTGCCAGCCCCAGTGGCCGCCCGTGTCGCAGCCCGGCGCCGCCGCGCAGCAGCCTGTGCCCGGGCAGAGATGAGGCGCGGCGCCCCCCGCTGGTACGAACTGGGACTACACTAACACTGAAGCAGAGGATCGTGGGAGGAGGCGACGGCGGCGGCGTTTTTCTGGACTTGGATTTTGAATATATTATGGATGCATCGATGGAACCGGCAGAGATATGACGGCGCCTCCTCGTGGACGTTTGCAGTACTGCGATAAAAAGTTTCCTTGTAACGCAGAAGAGCGAAAAGACTTGAGTTATTGACGCCTCAAACTGGAGAATTATCGTTTTTAAACTTCGCACAGGTGTTCTACCCACGTTTTCTAGAGTGCGTTTAATTTTGTAAAAGCTGCCCCGATTGGTTGAAGCGGCATTTTTTTTCTGAACAGTAATCAAAAGCATCTTAAAGTTTTGTAACGGACATTTTTACAGTGAAGTCTGGGGAGCTCCGATTGGTCGTCGTATTTTAACGTAAACACAGTACAAGTCCGACGCTGCATTCGCTTGTCCGTCCGTCCTCACGTTCACGTTTCAGCCGTTTTATTACCGTATTTCCCGCACTATAGGAGCTCTGGATTATAAGGCGCGCACTTGTTTTTGGATTAAATTAAAGGATTTTAAGCGCGTCCTGTAGTGCGGAAAATACGGTATGTTTCACGTGTCCAAACATAGATTCGAGGAAAAGGGGCGTGTCGCCAGATCTCCGCGTCGGACGGATAAACGAACGAACGCAACATAATTAGTTACTCCATTATCCATGAACCGAAATGTGTGCTTAGAGGTTCGTCCCGCTGTGCAAACCCGTTTAAAGATGCCGTAATTTCCAGACTATAAGCCGCTACCGAACTTTTTTTTTTTTCCTCACGCTTTGAGACGGTGAGACGTTGGCGACGGCGGCGTGACGAACTGACTCGACGCAAAAAGACGGCAAAAGCTTTGAAAATGTTCGTGAAGACGTGGACACCGGCGGCTTATAGATAATTCCGGACGATATATGAACAGTTTTTTTCTTTTCAAAATTTAGTTGGTGCGTCTTGTAGTCCGGAAATTACGGTAAAATAATCAGATTCACAATACAACTAAAGATACAACACATAAGGTAACTTTTCTAGTGCAGGAAAATTATCCGCTTGTATCCATGAAGAAGTTATTGCTTCGCCTGAAATGTTCCGCAGTATGGCATTCATAATTTCTGTCTAACGTTTATTTAACTACAGATTTGTTCGTGTGTAAAATCCTTCGTTCGTCCAAGTAAAATCCATAGCAAACGGAGAAATTCAACTTGTCAGCTGGACAAAAATTTATAAAATTTTTCTACAGATTTGTTTATTTCTCCAAAAAATCCCTCAATAAACTCTCCACAGATCTGAGCCGTAACTTCGCCCGGTCACGCCGTTTACATCCAGGTTAATGCCGTACTGTGGGACATTATAAGCGAAGTAATAACATCTTTATAGCGACAAACAAGCGGCAAACTTTGCGCGAAAAAAGTTACGTAGTTCACCTTTTAAGCTACACCCTTTTTTTTTTTTAGACCAACAACCAATTGGCATCAACCAATTGAAAAAAAAGCTGGAATTTTTTAGGAATATTAACGAGAAATTATTGGATTTAAGAAAAGAATCACGGGAGATTTATAAACGTTGACGGACGCAGCTACGACGAGACGTTTTGGATTTATATTTTCGCTTCTGAAAATGGACGAACTGCGAAAAACAACCATTTTGGAGATTTATTTTTGTGTTTTTTTTCTTCATCGCCTTCTCGTTTATTTGGATCCGGCCTCGCAGACTTCCGCCTCGGACAAACCTAAACCAGGGAAGCCACTTCTACCGCCACAGCTGTTACCTCGGCCGTCTTTTTTTACGTTTTACTAACGCTCGACGGACGCGTGTAGTCCGGCGAACGCGCTGCAGCGACTTAAAAGCGTCGTGTTTTTATTTGGCATTTAAGTTTGGACGTCTTTCACTGCAGTTCGTCTGTTTTTTATCGTATTTTTTAAAGCAATAACCAGTTTGTAGAGAGATCGAGATGTTGGTGCGGTTCGCCGTTGGAAAAATTCACGTTAAAACTGAAATTTAAATCAAGCGAAAACTGCGAAAATCAAGGCGTACGGTGCAATTGCGTTGTTTTTTTTTTTTAACAAGAATAAGAAGTTGGGTTTTGTTTTTTGTTTCGTCTCGGGAGCAGTACCGCAAGTGTCCACGAGGGGGCAGCACTACGCGGGTTTAGGGTTCTTTCTGATGTCACTGTACCTCACTGGGAGAGCGTGTTGTTCGGGAGCGACGAATGGGGACGTTTTTGTGTTGTTCGTACTTTTCTTATCGTTCGTCACTGGAGCCATTTTAGTTTGTTTCAGGAAATTTCTCTTTAAGAATAATAAAGCCATTTGTTGGACGTTTTTTTTTGGAAAGGTGCTGTCTCGGGTCTTTTCTTGAGCACGCTTTTACGAACGCTTGGCGACTTTGGGGAAACTAAAACTTGAAGGGTCTGGGCTAAAAAAGAGGTTCCGCAATCTCACAGAACATGTTTCACCAGAATCTTCACCTACAGGTAGTTTGTTTCATTCTCAGTTTATGTTCAGGTCTCGTGTGAAGCTCAGAACCTCCAGAATCCCTCACTGAGCTGATTCAGGATCAGCTGAAGGTTCTGACGTTTAGGGAGCAGTGTTGTGAAGGTGACTTTTAAAATGTAATCCCCTACAGATTACAGATTACATACCTCAAAATGTAGTTTGTAACGTAATCCATTAAATTACTTAAAGTGAGTAACGTAATCTGAATACTTTGTTTTGTCTGCTAAAAGACAATGAAAAGCCCAGACTTTACTGAACCAAATTAAAAATATTACTGATAAAAGAGGAGCAGACACGACACATCAGCACAACATGGTTTAGATCTGGTTTAGACCTAGTTTAGTCCTGGTTTTAGTCCTGGTTTAGAGCTGGTTTAGACCTAGTTTAGTCCTGGTTTTAGTCCTGGTTTAGATCTGGTTTAGTCTTGGTTTAGATCTGGTTTAGTCCTGGTTTTAGTTCTGGTTTAGATCTGGTTTAGTCTTGGTTTAGATCTGGTTTAGTCCTGGTTTTAGTCCTGGTTTTAGACCTGGTTTTACCTGGTTTAGACCTGGTTTTAGTCCTGGTTTTAGTCCTGGTTTAGATCTGGTTTAGTCTGGTTTACTCTGGTTTAGGTTTAGACTGGGGTTTAGACTGGTTTAGACCTGGTTTAGACTTGGTTTAGACCTGGTTTAGACCTGGTTTAGCCTTGGTTTAGAGACCTGGTTTAGACCTAGTTTAGTCCTGGTTTAGACCTGGTTTAGACTTGGTTTAGTCCTGGTTTAGACCTGGTTTAGACTTGGTTTAGACTTGGTTTAGTCCTGGTTTAGACCTGGTTTAGACTTTTAGACTTGGTTTAGTCTGGTTTTAGACCTGTTTAGACTTGGTTTAGTTTAGACTTGGTTTAGACCTGGTTTAGACTTGGTTTAGTCCTGGTTTAGACCTGGTTTAGACTTGGTTTAGTCCTGGTTTAGACCTGGTTTAGACTTGGTTTAGACTGGTTTAGACTGTTTTAGTCCTGGTTTAGACCTGGTTTAGACTTGTTTAGTCCTGGTTTAGACTTGGTTTTAGACCTGGTTTAGACCTGGTTTAGACCTGGTTTAGACTTGGTTTTCTGTTTAGACCTGGTTTAGACTTGGTTTAGACTTGGTTTAGTCTGGTTTAGACCTGGTTTAGACTTGGTTTAGTCCTGGTTTAGACCTGGTTTAGACTTGGTTTAGTCCTGGTTTAGACCTGGTTTAGACTTGGTTTAGACCTGGTTTTAGTTCTGTTTCAGCCCAAAATGTGAAAACAGGAAAATCCCGCCCTGTAATCTATTTATTTCAACAAAGTAACTGTAATCCAATTACCACTCACTGAAACAGTAACTGTAACTGAATACAGTTACTCCATAATTTGTACTCTGATTACGTAACTCCGGTACATGTAATCTGTTACTCCCCAACACTGTTAGGGAGCGACCGTTCAGATCAGAAAGAGAATCGTCTGGAATCAAAAACACCAATTATAGGATCTATTCACTCTTAAACTCACTCTACTCACGCTTCACGTCACAAAACCGGAAAACGTTCGGAAACATGCGGATGACGACTTCCTTTGGGCTCTGTTGGTGATAGTAACTCTGACAAAATTTGGGAAAACTGAGAAAATGTCCCGGTTTTCTTCATCTAGATGTTGCTGTATTCTTTCTTTGTTACTTTTATAAATGGCCTATTAATTTGTGTCTTATAATTTGTCTAATAATTAAAAAAAACAAAAAAACAAAACAGGTCATTATAGCCGTTCCGTTTGGTTCAGCTGTCTGTGAGTGACACTGAAGACGTGATTGAGAGTCCCGTCTCCAGTGAAAAGCTCTGGCAGGTTGTGAAGACCCTTGCTGCTGCTGAATCCACGGTTTTATTGTTTTATCACATGTCCAGTGTCGGGAACTACACCGGAAGTCGTCATCCGCACATTTTCAAACGTCTTTCTGGTTTGTGACGTGAGCGTCAGACTCGAGCCTGTTATAAGATAAATAAATGGGACGTCGTGTTCAGTGTTTTTGTGAGAATAAATCGGCATTAGGATCGTCAGTGGTGTTTGATTCGAACATGTTTCTCTTGGATCTTGAGACACGGGTCAAGTTTTAATTAAATGTATTATTAAAATGAACCTGTTTAATCTGAAATGAGTGGGTGAAGTGAAGGTCCATCCATCCATTTTCTTCCGTTTATCCGGGGTCGGGTCTTGGGAGCATCAGTCTAAGCAGGGATTCACAGACTTCCTTCACCCCGGACACTTCCTCCAGCTCCTCCAGTGGGACCCCGAGTTGTTCCCAGGCCAGCCCAGAGACGCAGTCCCTCCAGCGTGTCCTGCCTCCGCCCGGTGGGACAGGAACACCTCCCGAGGGAAAGTCGAGTGAAGGTAATGAACTTTTCAAACACAGAGACGCTCATTATTGTGTCATTATGGTTTATGTAATAAATATAATAGATTTTACAGGAGACGGTTCAGTTCAGAGTTTATTTTAAGAACAGAGATTTGGTCAAAACATCAGAAAAGTGCAACATGACATTTGTTTATGTCGTACTGTTAGACAGAGACATGCGCAACAACAAAAACTACGACTCCGTGCTGAGACCAAAAACAAAAACTCTGCAAAAGAAGAAAAAGATCCACACTGCAGCTTTTTAAAACTCCCAAATGTTTTATTTCAACGACAGCACAATGTGACGTTTCGTGTCAAGCTCTTCAGACATGAAAGGTTCAGTTTGTTTGTTTGTTTTATTCCCACTCTTTTTCACTGACAAAATTTCAAAACTTTTCCATGAATTTTCCATGTCTTTACGGCACCTGCATGTGTAGAATCAGGGTATCCCCAGGTTTGTCTACCCTAAATTTAAGACTTTAAAACCTTTTTAAGACCACGTAAATGAAAATTAAGACCAACATCGCAAACATTATGCAGGCGAAAAACACCAGATCCAGTTCTAATAATGACCATTACTCACGGCTTTAAATAACAAAAAATACTTTTAATTAGACGTTCAATCACGTTACATGACTTCACTTTGTTTTTTCTTTTATCCTCCCTCCGTTTAACGTCGCGCTGCAGCCCGGTTGAGTAAACAAAAAAAATAGGCCAATGAAATTTAAGACTTTGTGAAAAAAATAAGACTCGGACAACATAATTTAAGACTTTTTAAAGCCTTAATTTAAGACCTTTTTAAGACTTTTAAGACCCCACAACTGTCCTGAGAATTAAATCTGAAACGTTAACTCTTTCCACTCACATTATGGTTTGGGATTATAGTTTTTGAACATTCAGATTCCCGTCAGTGCATTTATTGTCGTCTCTTTTAAACAAAAGACGCAGACGTTTAGAAATAATCAGAACAGCCTCATGAGAACTTAACAGAACGCTGGAGGTGCGTGAAAGAGATACTACTTTTCCAAAATTTCCATTGAATTTACAAAATTCCACGACATTTTCAGGCCTGCAAAATGACATTTTCAATTTCCACGACTTTTCCAGGATTTCCATGACTGTGGGAACCCTACATATTTGTTTGGTGATTAGACCTGAGCTTATATATAAAACAATCAGAGAAAAAAATCAAAGAAATCAAAGAAAAAAGGTGATTATAATTGTTGAATGGAATCTTTAGTTCAAATCAGGTGTTCACTCTGTTTTAAAGTGGTGTTTTTGTTTACCACAACTAAAAGTATTTACACTATTTACAATTTATACACAAAATGGAATGAAGATTTGACCTAAGACCGTTTTTATGACTCAAACTGTTGACGTCCTCGCTCCAGTTTGTGTCTGTACGTGATCCTACAGTGACACTTTCATGCCTGCAGCGCTGATGCAAATATCACGGTCTCCTGTGTTTTTAGATTTGTATATAAAGTGTCTCTTTCTTCATTTGCACAGCATTTGTTTATCACATTGGTTTTTAGGACAGAGTCACGACCTGTGGACCTCATTTAAAGTTGATAATTTATTTTAATTCAAATGATTCTTTTTGGCAGAATCGAGGGTCAGACTCCCTTTTCATTTGTAGGATCTTTGTCAAACTGCTCTGGCTCCTCACTGCTTTGTGTTTAAACTACAAATGAAGAGCTGAGAACGAAAAGGTTAGAAGTGACATCACAGACTTTACCGATGAGGCCAAAAACAGCTCCGACTTTAAACAGATCTTTCTTTAAAGGGCGCATTTTCAGATTTTTACACTATTTCTGATGTTATAATGTTGGTTTCCCGTCAAAAACTCACCTGGAGTTGTGTTTTGGTTCATTTATGCAAGTTTGTGATGAGGGAACAGCGTTATAAGATCAGAAAACAGAGTAATATTGGCCCTATTATCAATTATCTTCTAAAGACTTCCGTGACTGCGATGTCGGACTCACCCAGAACTAAACCAGGTCCGGGACCAAAGTCGAACCAGACCGGGACTGAGACCGGACTGAGACCGGGACTGAGACGGGACTGAGACCGGGACCGACCGAGACCAGACCGAGACCAGACCGAGACCAGACGAGACCAGACCGAGACGACCGAGACCAGACCGAGACCAGACCGGAGACCAGACCGGGACCAGACCGGACCAGAGCGGGTCTGAGATCGGGACCAGAGCGAGACTGAGACCGGGACCAGACCAGGATCAGACCGGCGCTCAGAGCCCACGGCAGGGTCGGAGCTCGAAGCTGAGGCTCAGAGTCAAAGCTCGGAGTCTGCTCTGGTCCCGCTCTGGTCCCGGTCTCAGTTCTGATCTCAGTCCCGGTCTGGTTCCACTCTGGTCCCAGACCTGGATCAGTCCTGGGTCAGTCCGGCATCGTAGTCACGGGAGTCACGTAAACAGGAAACGGTCGTTATCTGCTTTTTCCATTTTTCATTTAAACACAAAATCGAAAACTGAAAAAACGAATCTTTATCTGTTTTTTCATTTTGGTTTTGGAGACAAATAATGACGAAAATTGTTGTTTTTTCGTTTTCTTATTTTTGGTTTTATATTGAAAAACGAATGACACACAGATTATCCGCTCTGGAATTAAAGCGCTCAAACCTGTCTCAAACTCCTCATCTTTTACCTTTCACTGGGTAAATTCGTCACTTGATTTCACTGTGTGTGTTTCTGGGTTTCTGAGTTTTTCGTGGAGTTTTTCGTGGAGTTTTTCGTGGAGTTTTTCGTGGAGTTTTTCGTGGAGTTTTTCGTGGAGTTTTTCGTGGAGTTTTTCGTGGAGTTTTTCGTGGAGTTTTACGTGGAGCTCTCGGCTGCGTTCACCGACATCGGGACGAGGGAGCTCTGAGAGGCGCAGCCCAGAGGAGACACCGGCCAGTCCCGACCAGAACTACAACATCCTGGACAGAAAGGGGAAGAGGAGAGAGGAAGCATGAAGCAGGGATTTAAGGGAGAGAGAGAGAGACAAGACGAGACAAGAAGATGCAGAATTGTAATTTAAAAATGTCTGATTTTTTTTATACTTTTCATTTCTCACGGCAAGAAATTTACAGGTTCATTTCTCAGATTTCCCTGTTCTGTGCACCCAAAACATGCTCGGTGTGATTCAGCATCTAGGAATGGATTTGGAGAGATGAAAATGTAGCGCCGTTGCCATGGTAATAAACAAAACAAATTCAAAACAAATATTCTATTGAAAAGAGCAGATGTGTCTTGAGGACGTAAGAGCAGCACAAAGGCCCCACACTGTGTTACGTTTGTTTTTATTTAGTTTATTTAGTTAGGACACAAAGCCTTCTTTTCTCAAACTGAAAACAATGAAAACGCTTCCACCTTGTGATGTCATGTGGTAAATACTCCACTGTGTTTTTAAACCCCACACCAGGGCTGGGGATCATTAAGAAGTTGCCGATAAGATACAAACCTCGATACAGTGAGCTCTCAGTTCGATACGATATATTTCAAATAAAAAATAAAGTTTAAATCATGTCTGTGGTACTAAAAGTCTTTTTCCTGTGCAAAGTTCATATGAAACACAAACATTTTAGTCCTCAAAACAGTGAAAATATCAAATGTGTCGCATAAATGAGTTTCTTTCCTCTAAACAAACAACAAAACTATGATATTAGGTTCTTTTTTCAGACTAAGAGTTTGTTTTCGTACCCGACGCTGTCATTCTGCCTCCACCGGTAAAAAGACAACGTCAAAACTTGTTTAAATCAGCTGAGCGACACGTCACAGCAACATCACGAGACTCAACTGAAACTGTCTGAAAACAAACTCTTCGTCTGAAAAAAGAACCTAATAACATAAATTATTGGACTGAAACATCAAAACTGCAGCTGTAACAAAATAATTTAGTAAAATGGACCAAAAAATACTCAATATATCGATACAGCAGCCCACGATATTGATACTGTATCATCACATTAAACGATACGATATATCGATATTTTTGTACAGCCCTACTCCACACACCTTCACTACAATCATCTGGTTAATTCCAGCCCAGGAATTTCTAATCTACTGACAGGGTTCCCACTTTTTTTCACTGACAAAATTTCATAACTTTTCCATGACTTTTTCATGACCTAACGTGAATTTTCCAAGACCTAAATGTGTAGAATTGATCAGACTTTGAGGACTGTTAAATCTTTCCACTCACCTTATGGTTTGGGATTATAGTTTTTAACATTCAAAATTCTGTCAGTGCATTTATTGTCTCTTTTAAACAAAAGACGCAGACATTCAGAAATGGTCAGAACAGACTCATGAGAACTTAACAAAACGCTGGAGTTACGTGAAAGAGATACTAAAATTCCATGACTTTTCCAAAACTTTCAATGAATTTAGTGAATGAATGAATTTCTCCAAATTCATATAATCGAGTTGAAACGATTTAGGGGGCACTCATACCAGAACTTTAGAATCGTGCTCAAGAACCCGTAAAATTAGGTACGTTTGTCCAGTTTGAGCGCAGCTGAACAGCGACAGGCACGGTACGGTTCTAAAGTCCCAGTGTGAGTGCGCCGTAAAGCTTAACAAAGTTTATTTTGGGATATTTTTAATATAAATAAGTACATTTAATTTATTTTTAAAATATAGAGATTGTAGAACAGCTGGATATAGAGTTTATTTTGGAGATATTTATGTTTTTTATGCCTTATTTCAGGGGTGTCCAAACTTTTTTCATCAAGGGCCACATGTCTAAACACAGACCAAGCAGAGGGCCAATCGAGGGCCACAGACTGGTGCTCAGTACAGCGAATAATTGAAATACTTGCATGTTTAACACATTAGAATGAGCCGTCAGTCTTTATTCATGCTAAGATTATTAAAACCAAACACGCACTAAATATTCAATATTAGCTTTATCAAAGTAGATTTTTAAAAACTTGCAGGAAAATTTTTATTTTTAATTGATGTAAGGTCATTTGGGCCAAGTCTCCTGGAAGTCTGAGGGCCAAGAAAAATTTGTCCGAGGGCCGCATTTGGCCCACGGGCCGTACTTTGGACATGCCTGCCTTATTTCATGTTCAAAGTTTATTTTATTCATTTTATGTTTTATACTTAACAAAACTGCTCTAAGGTTCAGATTTGGAGCCGATATTTATTTTCAATTTTGCGTAAATTCTCAATAACAAAGAGTTTGTTTGTTTTTTGAGACAGAGAAATGCTGAATAAACGCATTAAACAATTATCGTTTGAATAATTGTGATTTCAATATTGTCCAAAATAATCGCGATAATGATTTTTTCCATAATTGAGCAGCTCTTAAAGTACTTCTTCATGACATCACAAAGTGGATCAGAGCGTTTTGAGCTTTGGAGATGTTGACAGACAAATAATTCAGCATTGTAACATGGCTTAAAGTTCAAAAGAGTCATTTTTGTGTAACACTGGACCTTTAACCTCGTGTGTGTGTGTGTGTGTGTGTGTCTGTGTTTGTACCTGAGGGGGGGCTGGGGCGCCGCAGACCCGAGCTCGGCGCACTGTCTCTGGGGGAAGGGGAGCTCCGGGGTCGGCTCCTGCTCCTGGAGGATCCTGAGGAGACAAAAGTGTGTTCACCAGAGGGACAGAGACACACACAGAGTCCACCCAGAATGTGTGTTTGACCTGGTGCTCCTCCTGTGGGCTGTCCCCTCACTGGTGTCCTCAGTCTTCTACAGCTCTAACCCTCTAAATCCTCTGCCGCCTCCTCCTCTGCACTTATCCATTTGCTTCATTTTAAACTTTAAACTTGGCAATAACAATCTTTACTCTCGTTTTAAAGCGCCTGAATTACACAAAATGGATTCTTGTGAGTTTTAAGTCACGTTATAAAAGTGTTTCCTGCTCAAAAACAGACCTGGAGAATCAGCGTGTCGCTCGTTCATGCGTTTTTCAAAATTAAACCAAAAATAAGAAAATGAAAAAAACAACGATTTTCTTCATTATGTGTCTCCAAAATCAAAATGAAAAAACAGATAATGATTTTTTTTTTTTAAATTTTCAATTTTGTGTTTAAATGAAAAATGGAAAAAAAACAGATAATGGCCGTTTTCCGTTTCCGTGACTTAAACTGAGATGCCGGACTGAACCAGGACTAAACCAGGACTAAACCAGGACTGAGACTGGGACCAGACCAGGACCAGGACTGAGATGGGGACTGAGACCGGGATCAAACCAGGACAGGAGACCAGTTTAGTCCTGGTTTTGTCTTTGTTTAATCCTGGTTTAGTCCTGGTTTAGTCCTGGTTTAGTCCTGGTTCAGTCCTGGTTTAGTCCTGGTTCAGTCCTGGTTCACTCCTGGTTTAGTCCTGGTTCAGTCCTGGTTCAGTCCCGGTTTAGTCTTGGTTTAGTCTTGGTTTAATCCTGGTTCAGTCCTGGTTTAGTCCTGGTTCAGTCCTGGTTCAGTCCTAGTTTAGTCCTGGTTTAGTCTGGTTCAGTCCTGGTTTAGTCTGGTTCAGTCCTGGTTCAGTCCTGGTTTAGTCCTGGTTTAGTCTTGGTTTAATCCTGGTTCAGTCCTGGTTTAGTCCTGGTTCAGTCCTGGTTCAGTCCCTGTTTAGTCCTGGTTTAGTTCTGGTTCAGTCCTGGTTTAGTCCTGGTTCAGTCCTGGTTCAGTCCCGGTTTAGTCTTGGTTTAGTCTTGGTTTAATCCTGGTTCAGTCCTGGTTTAGTCCTGGTTTAGTCCTGGTTCAGTCCTGGTTCAGTCCCTGTTTAGTCCTGGTTTAGTTCTGGTTCAGTCCTGGTTTAGTCCTGGTTCAGTCCGGCATTGCAGTTTAAGTCACAGAAACGGAAAACCTCCATTATTCGTTTTTTCCATTCTTCATTTAAACACAAAACCAAAACAAATCATTATTTGTTTCTTCATTTTGGTTTTGGAGACAAATAATGAAGAAAATAGTTGTTTTTTTCATTTTCTTATTTTTGGTTTTATATTGAAAAACAAATGAACAAATGGAACACGGTTTCTGGAGTTGTGTTTTAGTTTCATTCACACATGTTTGAGTAACTTAGTCTACATCTGCAAAGCTTAAAATGCTCTGTTCTTCCCTGTGATTATATCCTAAATAAAAATGGTCTTTTTATTATATATAACTCGCTGGTAATGCCCTACAGAACCTACTGTATTTAGATTTGGGGCAATACCTTTAGGACTAATACAAATCCAATCTTTACTTTGCAAAAAAAGGCAATAAGAACAATCACATTATCAATTTATAATGAACCAACCAATGTGTTATTTATAAACCTTCAAACTCCGAACATGATTTTCAAAGTGTAAACGTCGACTAGACCGTAAAATTTCAACGTAAACTACAATCTGCTGTCAAAAAAATCATTACAGACGATGTTTAAAATCCGAAATAGCCGGTATGAGCTCAGAGGTATGTCCACGTTTACTGGTATAAAAGAAAAATTCAGAAGAAATATTATGAAATTTAGTTTATTTGTTAAATGCGTGGAGCTCTGGAACAACTGTACAGAAGATCTAAAACTGTGCAAAACTCTGTTCCACTTGAAAAAAGAAGTTTAAATGTTTAACTGTGGGCAGATACATGAATTTTGAGGCTTAGTTTGTGCTGTACTGTTACTGATTTGTTTGTTTCTTCTCGCTGTGTTTATGAATCTGATCTAAGGAATAAAGGATGAACACAGAACAGAATGAGCTTGTGATGGAAATTTATACTGTGGAAAGATTTCCCTCAATTTGTCTTTGTGTAAATTAATGTGATTTCTACCTGAGAAATAGTGATCAGTTTATCTTTTAGAATCAGGCTATCCCCAGGTTTGACTACCCCAAATTTAAGAGATTTAGATCACTTAAGTGAAAATTAAAGGTTGTATAGAGGATTTTCCAAGGAACGAGAAATCCAGCGACTCTTTGTCCTTTTTCAAATGTTGCGCATGTGTGAAACCACCCCCCCTCCCCTACAGCTCCTACGTAGAAACGCCTCCTCCCTCCTCCTCCTTACGCCAGAAACAGGTTTGTTTACAGCCGGTGAACTGCACATGACTTGTAAACAACTAACTACAGTGTTGGTTAGGCAAGACGGAGAAGTGAGGAGCGGGGGAAGAGCGGAGCAGGGAGCAGGGAGAGAGGAGAGAGGAGAGGAGAGGGGAGCGGTGCACGGAGATTCCGTACCCGGAGAAGTGAGGAGCAGGGGGAAGAGCGGAATGGGCAGCGGGGACAGGAGCAGGAAAGGGGAGCAGAGAAGGTTGCGCGGAGATTCCGTGCGAATGAACTAGCTACAACACGCAGCAGCAAGTGGACTCTTTCTTTGCCTTGAAAATTACGTTTTCAGACATAGGATATCGCTTTCGTGTCCTGAAAAACGTTTGTCTCGCTCTTGGAAATAAAGTACGTTTTCATAATAAGCAGAAGTTTCCTGTCCAGGAGTAATTTGTGGACCAGTGGTTCAGTCTTTAGACCCTTCGTCTGCTTCAGTCGCGCCATCGCTGGAATGAATCTTCAAGAATCACCTTAGTTTGGCTTCGCTGCTTTTCCCCTTGTCTTCTTCTTTCAGCGACCTCAAAAACGGACTTTCTTTTGCGGCGAACTGCTCCTGGATTCTTGTCGCCATTGCAACAAACTTTGTGCGAACTGCGAGGAAGATATAGGTCAAAAAAAAGTCCGCTAAGAACTATTGCGTTGGTGGAGTAAACAGCGTCTGTGCGTCTTGCGTCTGTGGACTGTGTGACAGTCGTACGTAAACCACGTACCGGCGGCGCAGGCAAGTCAGTTACACTAGAAACGTAGGGAGTTTGATTGACAGCCTGTCAGCTCACAGATAACGAGGCAGTGTCGTTATCTATTGGCAAATGTTTAGCCCCACCACGTCCAGAGTTGATGAATTTTTATTCTCTTTTTTTTGGTCATCATAATTACAAGGCTACTGCATCTCTATAATCTATCACTGACAATTTGAAACCAAAAAAAATCCTCCATACAAACCTTTAAGACCAACATCGTACCCATTATGCGAGCAAAAAACACACCAGGTCTAATTCTAATAATGACCAACCAACTACTATATTTATAATCTAAGAGCCATGATCCATCCAACGTCTTCCTCCGCTCTACTGATTGTTAGACGTTCATTCACGATACATGATTTCACGTTGGTTTTTTTTTCTCCTCCCTCCATTTAACACTGCAGCCCGGGTTGAGTAAACAAAAAAAACAAAAAAAAAAAGGGCTGAAATTTAAGACCTTTGTGAAAAAAGTAAGACTTGGACAACATAATTTAAGACTTTTTAATGCCTTGATTTAGGAACATGAAATTTAAGACCTTTTTAAGACTTTTAAGACCCCGCGGCTGCACTGTAGAAACACATTTGGTCTCGTAACTAAAACTCATTTGGTTTGGTCGTTAAAGACAGTGTTAGAAATAATACTACTGTTAATACGTTCTGGTCCCTTTTGCTCGCTGATCTTGTTAGAAAGTGACAAATGTGTGAATATGGAACAAATCAGATTAAAAAAAACATCGGGCCACACCTCAGTAGGAGTCGTCACCTTCTCAGTTTGGCTTTATAAACTTGGTGCTTTGTAACTTTAGGGACATACTGGTCCATATTCCAAAAACTCATCGGGCTTCGCAAATGGATAAATTATTTATTATAAAGAGATACATCATTTTTTCCACAACAAGCTCATGCTTCAGCCTCCGCCTTTTCGGTCTGTGTAAGTTAAATATGACTGTGACCGAAATAAATTAATCAATCAATCATAAAGAGGTAGTTTTTAAGTGAACCTCTCCTTTTACCTTCAGTTCAGTAGAGATTGGCAACTCCAGGGCTGGAATTATCCAAATGATTGTAGTGAAAATGTGTGGAGAACTGAGCCTAAACGCGCAGGGTTTGTGTGTTAAACGTGTGTGAATGAAACAAAACTCCAGGTCTGTTTGTGATGAGGAAACGACAATAGAACATAGATCATAAAAGGCGTAATATCGGCCCTTTTAAGTCGTAAACAAACCACAGTAAAGCTTTAGTTATATTTATTCACTCTGGGTTTATTGCAGGTTTGAGGGACGGTCTTATTTACCGTCTCTGGAGGCGATGGTCGGGAGTTTGGTTTCCGCGTTTTTGCTCGGCGATGCGTTCAGGCGTCCTTTGTAAATGTGACCGTCCAGTCCCACAATGTCCACCTCCTCGGACTGAAAACACACACAGCAGCACAGGGCTCATTTAGATCATTTCTGATGTTATGAACCATAAAACAGGTGAATAAATCTGCATCTGACCGTTACAGAGGGAGAATTACACTTCTGTGGAATTGGAATACTGGAAATTCCACCATAAAATTCTAATCTTTCCTCCATTTTAGTGTTAAACCAAAGGGATTCTATAATATTGTGAATATCGGGACTAAACCCAGACCTAAATCTGAACACAATCTGGACAAAACAAGGACTAGAACAGGACCGACCCACGTCTTCATCACGACTAAACCGGGACCAAAGCTGGACAAGTTCTATCCAGATCCTTGGTGATAATAACAGTTTTAGTTTATCGTCATGGTAACGGTCAGCGTGTCGCACCTGTCCGAGGGTGTCGTCGAGCTGGGCCAGCAGGCGGCTCTGCTGAGAGCTGTGCTGCACGGAGCTGCGCTGCCTCTGGTTAAAGGAAGTCACCGTGTGGCTCCCTCCGCAGCTACGAGAGACCGAGTACAGGCTGTAGTCTGCCACCTCCACCACACGATCACTGCACAGAGAGACAGAGAGACCCCACCAGATCACTACGGACCGAAAGAGAGACCATGATCACTACAGATGGAGAGACAGAGAGAGAGACTGAGTACAGGCTGTAGTCTGCCACTTCCACCTACGATGACCAGACGTCCTGAAAAATTTGTGACAGTCCCGAAATCTAAGCTGTTGTCCCAAATCCCGAATTCGGCCCTATATGTCCCAAAAATGACACTCAAACACAATACTGAGTAGTTATTTTCTGATAAACATTAAAAACTGTTAGTAGAAAGGTTGAGTCGACTGCACACAGCCCGTGATGGCTTCTAGACGCTCTGTTTGCAAAGTTGAACATTTGCCTTGGTCGCTTCCTATGTTATAACAGGGAAGAGTGTCGGACTGAAGGCGCGGCCAAACAGAACGCAGCAGACATCGCCTTTGGAGCCAAGTGGAGAGCAAAGGGGAGACAGTGAGGTGAAGTACCAGTGACGTGCGGTCAGCGGAGGCAGGTGAGGCAGTGTCACAATTAATGTTCCCCTAAATTATGTTGTTTAACTCACTATGTTAAGTTGCTCGTCTCTTATTGTGGACGCTCCAGGTTCAAGACCCTGAACTGTCGTTTACATTTTTATTCTTTCTTACGTTTTGTGTGTAAACAAAATAATTTATTAAAACTCAATGTTTTTATTAGTTAACATGATTTTTGTGTATTGTGAATTGTGTATCAACAATTCTGAGCTTCCTCCGTCCCCAATTTCAGCCAATCTCATCTCTCATCTCTCAATCTCATCACCCAACCTCCACCACACAATAACTGTAGAGAGACAGAAAGAGGGAGAGAAAGAGAGAGAGAGAGGGCAGGAGTGGTTCTAATTAGGGATGTAACTTAAAACTTAATCTTAAATATCGTGATATCATATCAAAAGTCCCACAATAATATGGGGCCATCACAATACACTGAATTACAAACTCCTTTGCTTAAGTGGTTTGTTTTGTTGCAGCAGCTAAAAAAACAGACATAGACCATGATCCTCTGCAGACCAGACAGCATGAAGAAATGATAAACTCTTAATTCTTTGGATTAAGATCGTACCGTGAGAATCGGACATTGTTACATCCCTATTTTATTTATGGATTCTTATTTTTCTATTTTATTTTGACTTGTACATATAATTTATATAGTTAAGTCTTATTTGACGACGGTCTCTTGCTCTTTTTTGCTACTTATTTAGAATTTATTATTATTACCATTTATATTTTTTACTCTTTGTTATTATATTATATTGTGATGTGTGAGCTGCTGTGTCCAAATAATTTCCCTTGTGGATCAATAAAATTTGTCTAAGTCTAAGTCTAAAAATACTTCCTCCATCCGTATAAGCCCCTCCCTGAGCTCTCCCTGACTCACGGCTGGTTCTGGTTGAGTCCCTGGTTCAGACCCTGGTTGAGTCCCTGGTTCAGACCCTGGTTCAGTCCCTGGTTCAGACCCTGGTTCAGTCCCTGTCCTCGGTGCTCGGCTCTGAGCCTGTCTGTCTGCCTGCACGTGGCCTCGTAACTCTTTTGGAGCTGCTCTCTCTTGCGGCTGATGCTGGACAGTTGGTACATGAAGCGGTTGGTTGGGCTCAGACTGAGACACACACACACACAGATCATAAAACACTTAAAAGGACGTCTGCACTACTCTGCTCGTGTAGCGCCCCCTGCTGGAGATGCCGGTGCGTACAGACCTCCTGCAGTGCTGTCTGATCTGCTCCAGCGTGTAAACCGTGAAGGGCCTCAGGGATCTGTGCGGCTGGAAACTGGGAGAGGTCGGCAGCGTCAGCAGCTGTCTGTAACGCAAACATGACAACATTACACAACATGATTCATACGATAAAACTACACAAACATGACAACATTACACAACATGATTCAAACGATGAAACTACACAAACATGACAACATTACACAACGTGACTCAAAAGCACTCAAAAGATTAAACTACACAAATAAAACTCACACAACACACACAGGGGGAGGATCTGCAGCAGCTGAAGAAAAGGTATCTATGCATGTTTTGTTTTGTATTTAACGGTAATTTAATGATAACATTAATCAGATTTTTTTACACCATCTGACCAGAAAGAGTTGACTTCGTTTTTCATTGAGTCACTTTCACCTGTTTGTTGAAAATCAAACTCCTAAAAACAGGACCATAAACGCTCGCACTGATCGCAGGCTCCTGAAAATGTGCTCTTTAAATCAATTTTGTATTTTTCCTTGAGTTTCTTTTATGACAGTGTTTAGTGCGTTGCTTCCAGTGTTGCCAGAGTTACTTTGAAATAGTAATCTGACTACTGAGTACTTCTTTAAAAAGTATCTAAGTTAGTGTTGTGCCCTTTTTGTTTGAGGAGGTTTGTAACTCACGTAAAAAAATAAGCACTCGCGGAGATCCAGATCCGTTTATCCATTTAGTTTAAAGAACAAAAAGTAATGATAATATTCTCCGTGGTTGACTTTCCTTTTGATATAATGTGTGTGGTCACAAAATAGTATCTTCTCCTCTCCACTCTCCAGGGGCACTGCCTTCCCCGCCCTGTTCCTACAGGTGGCAAGATATACCTGATTGCAGGAGGAGGGGAGGGGAGAGGAGATCAGGATGACCTATAAAAAATTCTATAATAAAGAAAAATGTATCAAATGAATAACTTCTTAAATAAATATAAACTGGCTCCAACAGTTAGATTACAAGTTACTTTACACTACTGGTTTCTTGGCACCGGGCGGGACCTGCTCTGTTAACATGGTCGTGCCGTGCTGTGTCTCCAGATGTTTCTTTAGGTTTGATGTTGTGTTCTTGAATGCAGACAACACTGTGTCGCCAGCACAGAGTGAACAACCAACCTTTATGTTGCCATCCTGAGCTGAAATAAAATCAAAATGTTTGTATTTACAGCTGCAGAAGTCGTACCTCTCTCCCTCCTTTGTTTACATCGGACTCGTGTCGGAGCGGAGATGACACGAGATCATAGGAAACGTGTCACCAGAGACGATTTATACGAACTTTGGGGTCACATAACCCACGTTGCCAAAAAATAAAAATAAATAATTAACCTACGTCGCCCTGAAACGCAAAAATAGTAACGCACAGTGTGTTTGATAAGTCACTTAAATCTGACCACTGGTTTGGAAATAGCACTGCGTTAGACGACTTGTTGCTGAAAAAGTAGTCGGACTACAGCAACGCGTTATTAAGTAGAGCGTTAGTGGCATTACTGGTTGCTTGACCATGGTAACTGCTGAACATTCCACCATAGGGATACACGTAGAACACCCCCAGAGTGAGTCACTGCAAACTATCAACTGATCTTATACAGCACTTATAATGATAAATATATGATGAACGTTTTCGGTAGCTCTGGATTACGTCACTTAATTTTTGTAGAATAAATAAATTTTTTTAAGGTAAGGAAATATGAGTCACTTTTTGCAGTGTGTAAATTTCAGGGACCCTCCCAGAGTCTGTGTGTGTGTGTGTGTGTGTGTGTGAGACTCACGGTCCAGGAGTGTGTTTGAGCACAGGGCGGTCACAGGACAAACAGTGGAACCTCTCCACTAGCTGCCTGCAACAACAACAACAACAACAAAACTGAATCAAAAGCAGGAACATATTTGTGCACATTTTATAATCCATGTTCATTTCCTAAACACATCTGAGTATTATCATCTGAGACAAGACTGAAATCTGAACTAGAGTCCTAAATATGAGTGTAAAATAAACTATACGAATGATTAATGAAGGCCTATCTTACATCATTTGTGCTGGAGATTTTATTTGGCATTAATAAAAGCATTTTAAGCAGCCTAAAGAAGAATCCCGCCAAAATTTAAGATATAATAAAAACGTCTAAAAAATCTATCAGAAAATGAGTTAAAAGTAGTGAAATGATCTGTCCATGCAGCGAGATCATTTTACTTGACAAGTTCTCTTAAAATAAACAACCTCTAAACAAGATTAAGCCGTCTGTGGTCAGTGTTCATGGGCTGGAAATAAGTTTATAGATCCTAAGTTTGAGATAAACAGACTCGAGTATCAAGCAAATCTGTATCACTGAATCTAAAACAAGTGAAGTGCTGCCGGGAGAAACTCTGGTAAATGTAAATCAGGGGTGTTCACACTTTTTCATCATGTGAGCTACTTACAAAATGACCAAATCAAAATGATCTACCTAATACAAAGCCAAACAAACTGCACTGAAACACTCTGTGCCTCTTTTTTGGACCCTCAACCACAGTTTGAGAACCTCTTCTTTAAGAGAAATTTAAGATTTTCTGACTAGTTGAGTCATGGAAGAAATATCTGTGACAATTTTTAAGATGATACAACCAATTCAGAACTACTAAATAGATAACAATTCTGAACACAAGATGAAGAACCTGATATAAGTTTTAAAATCTTGGCCACATCAGAGAAATTTGCTGTGCCCATGTATTTCAGAACATGTTTGTATCTAATCTAGCAGCTTTTACGCAGAATAAACCCCCATGGAGACAGAGGGAGGGCATCTGACACACAGGGACACTTCAGAACATGTTTGTAGAGGTGTAAACTCCGGTGTTAGCAGAGTCGTACTTCCTGATCCCGGCGGCGTCGTCCTGCTCCGGCGCTCCCTCGCTTCTTCATTCGTTCCTGGATGGATTTCCAGCGCGCCTCCAGCTGCTTCTTCACAGGGTCCAGCTCGATGCGGTTCAGCTGAAGCACACATGTGACCTGTCAATCACTACTGATACTCTGCAGTGACTAAACCTGGCACGATAACACATTTTGAAGCACGATATATCACTACAGAAATGTACTGCAATAAACAATAATACTGAAACTACTACAGGATAATTCCAATAAGCCATTTTTAAATATACAGTATAAATAAAGGATTTGAGCTGCAACAAATAAGTTGAAGAATTAACCAATAATTAGCAATAGAAGTTTATTTTTTCAACGCTCAAAGCTCAAATCTTTTCGTGTTACATATAAAATTACAAAACTTTTCCCACAATTGTAAAGAAATTGTCGACATGAAAAATAATAAGCCTCAAAATATATTGTTCCAACTTTTATAGCTGAACGATTAATCGATATTGCAATTATTGTGACAGGCTGAGAAGTGATATCATGCTCGGGGTGTTCTACATGTGTGCCTATGGTGGAATGTTCAGCACATGCATTAACACTGACGAGAAAGTTGTATGAGCATCTGAAAACTCAAAATGGACACAAAATTGATTTAAACAACAGATTTTCAGGAGCAATACAAGAGTTCACGGTTCTGTTTAGAAGTTTAATATGTGTTAAGTATTAATATGATGAGTTCAACTATGGCTACGTTCAGACTGCAGGGCTTAGCGCTCAATTCAGATTTTTTTGTGAAATCCGATGTTTTTGCGAGGTCGTTCACATTTCCAATTAAATGCGACCTGTGTGTGACTCCAGTGTGAACATTAAACGGCCCGAAAGTGTCCCACATGTGACACTGGAGACACGGTGACGTCAACCGCAGCGAGCGTCTCTGTGTTTACGGAAGTTGTCCAAACATGGACGTAGCATCGAGCACCTGGAGATTTTAAAGTTCCTCTCGTACCGGAGCCAGAACATGAACAACTTACTTGTTTTAAGGAGGAGATTGAGAAGGAGAAGGACGAGGTTTTTGGTGTTTTGTGTTTTGTGGTTCAGTCTGTTGAAAGGAACGTGTGGATGTGGAGACGGAGCCAAGAGTGGTGAGTGGTGATGTGCTTCACTTCAGTGACACGAAGTTCATTAACAGTTTTTGCCTACTTCAGCGCAGAATAGTGACGTTTGTGTCTTGTTGATAACGTGTAGGTGGATGAATGAGCTTTGGCCGTTCAGACTGAAGTCACATGTCAAAAGATCAAATATGTATCAGTTTTAGGAGCACATATCCAAGTGTCCTGGGTCACATTTGAAAAAATCGGATCTGTGTCGTTCAGACTGTCATTAAAAGTTCGGATACAGGTCACATAGAAGCCAAAAAATCGGATTTGGGTCACTTCAGGCTGCAGTCTGAACGCAGCCCATGAGAAACTGTGTGGATGTGTACAGGTTCACAGAGTTCAGAGAGACTTTGCTGTACCTTACAGTCCATCTCTGTGGACAGTTTCTCCATGAGTTTGCTCCAGTCCTGCTCCTGGTCGCTCACTTTGGTCAGGAGCTCGTTGAACATGTTACTGAGCTGCTCCGTCACCGAGTCGAACTGTACACGGCTCACTTTACTGTCCAACGCAGTCTTATCCGCACGCTGAAACACACAACACCGCTTTATTCACCAGGGGGGCGCTCTTATCCGCACGCTGAAAACTGTAAAGAACTCAAATGTCCTCACAGTAATAATAAGCTGTGAATATTTGAAATGATTAAACTTACGATTTCAGTTTCGACCATGTTTTTGTCGGCCTTCTTCTCCTCCATCTCCTCTGTCATCTTGTACAGTTCCTGAAAACAACACAATTATGATACTTACAAAATATAAATAAGAAATAAACACTCATCTTATTTTGCGGTCGTACAAAATTCTAGAACACGAGCTGAAACATCTTCACTTGTTCTCTCAATCGCAACTGAGAGTGTGTGAGAGTTTTACCTCGATGTGCGTCTGTTTCTGCCGGTTGTGTGTGTCTGTGTGTGTGAGAGTTTTACCTCGATGTGCGTCTGTTTCTGCCGGTTGTGTGTGTCTGTGTGTGTGAGAGTTTTACCTCGATGTGCGTCTGTTTCTGCCGGTTGTGTGTGTCTGTGAGTGTGTGTGAGAGTTTTACCTCGATGTGCGTCTGTTTCTGCTGGTTGTGTGTGTCTGTGTGTGTGAGAGTTTTACCTCGATGTGCGTCTGTTTCTGCTGGTTGTGTGTGTCTGTGTGTGTGTGAGTTTTACCTCGATGTGCGTCTGTTTCTGCCGGTTGTGTGTGTCTGTGTGTGTGAGAGTTTTACCTCGATGTGCGTCTGTTTCTGCCGGTTGTGTGTGTCTGTGAATGTGTGTGAGAGTTTTACCTCGATGTGCGTCTGTTTCTGCCGGTTGTGTGTGTCTGTGTGTGTGAGAGATTTACCTCGATGTGCGTCTGTTTCTGCTGGTTGTGTGTGTGTGTGTGAGTTTTACCTCGATGTGCGTCTGTTTCTGCCGGTTGTGTGTGTCTGTGTGTGTGTGAGAGAGTTTTACCTCGATGTGCGTCTGTTTCTGCCGGTTGTGTGTGTCTGTGTGTGTGTGAGTTTTACCTCGATGTGCGTCTGTTTCTGCCGGTTGTGTGTGTCTGTGTGTGTGTGAGTTTTACCTCGATGTGCGTCTGTTTCTGCCGGTTGTGTGTGTCTGTGAGTGTGTGTGTGAGTTTTACCTTGATGTGCGTCTGTTTCTGCCGGTTGTGTGTGTGAGTGTGTGTGAGAGTTTTACCTCGATGTGCGTCTGTTTCTGCTGGTTGTGTGTGTGTGTGTGTGTGTGAGAGAGTTTTACCTCGATGTGCGTCTGTTTCTGCCGGTTGTGTCTGTGAGTGTGTGAGAGAGTTTTACCTCGATGTGCGTCTGTTTCTGCTGGTTGTGTGTGTGTGTGTGTGAGTTTTACCTCGATGTGCGTCTGTTTCTGCCGGTTGTGTGTGTCTGTGAGTGTGTGAGAGAGTTTTACCTCGATGTGCGTCTGTTTCTGCCGGTTGTGTGTGTCTGTGAGTGTGTGTGAGAGTTTTACCTCGATGTGCGTCTGTTTCTGCCGGTTGTGTGTGTCTGTGTGTGTGTGAGAGTTTTACCTCGATGTGCGTCTGTTTCTGCCGGTTGTGTGTGTCTGTGTGAGAGTTTTACCTCGATGTGCGTCTGTTTCTGCCGGTTGTGTGTGTCTGTGTGAGAGTTTTACCTCGATGTGCGTCTGTTTCTGCTGGTTGTGTGTGTGTGTGTGAGAGTTTTACCTCGATGTGCGTCTGTTTCTGCCGGTTGTGTCTGTGAGTGTGTGTGAGAGTTTTACCTCGATGTGCGTCTGTTTCTGCTGGTTGTGTGTGTCTGTGTGTGTGAGAGTTTTACCTCGATGTGCGTCTGTTTCTGCCGGTTGTGTGTGTCTGTGTGTGTGAGAGTTTTACCTCGATGTGCGTCTGTTTCTGCCGGTTGTGTCTGTGAGTGTGTGAGAGAGTTTTACCTCGATGTGCGTCTGTTTCTGCTGGTTGTCTTCGAGCAGACATTGTGTGGTCTCGTGCAGTTTCTCACACTCGGTCTGAAGAAGGAGGATGGCCTTCTGCACTTCGCTCACCAGCTGAGCGCTCTGACGCACAACACAAACAACACGTGAACAACACAAGAGCACAGACCACAGTAGCAACATGGCCGACTTAACAACACACAGAAATACGGCCAATTTAGGGACGACTTTAGAGACAGTGAGCATCATCTACCCATTAACCTCAATCTTGGATGTTGAGATTGTTTGGGTATAAAATGCATATGTCCTTTATATAACATTTTAAAACACTTGCAGTACATCTCTCTCAGTCCCTGTCTCTTGCCTGTGGATCACCTGTGTGAAGTTGGCCCCCCATCAAACGCACATCTACACAAAAACTGTGTCTATCGTTAGTGCTTCGTTTGGCTGTTGCAAAAAGTTTCGTTTGTGCTGCTTTAGTTTTGGAGATATTAACAATTCTTTCATAAGTCAAATTGGGGTCAGCAGCCTCCAGGAAACTTCAAAATGCTCTAAAAGACCCAAAATGGAGTCAATCGCTTGTGCTTCGTTTGTGTTACAAAAAGGTTTGTTTGTGCGTTTAAGATATCAGCAGTTTTATTCTCAGCCAAAGACATGATCCAGCCCCTCAAAATATAGAATATATATAATTATATAAAATATGAATCAAAAGCAAGTTACTAAAGACTGATACAGCTTGAGATTGTTTATCTTCACTAGTTTTGTGGAGTTTTGCTGAAGCTGCTGCCGTCAGCTAAGCAGAAATGGCGTCATATTATTTCCGCAAAAATAATAATGAATAATTTTAGAAATATAATTACACAAAAAATGAAAATTGTCACAGCACAAAATAGCACAAACGAAAACACAAACATTTTGTATAATTTTCTGCCTGTTTTGAACCTATTTAACATTTTGAGGAGCTGCATGACGTCATCAGCTGAAAATAAAACTGCTGATATCTTAAGAACCAGAATCACACAAACGAAACTTTTTTGCAGCACAAACAAAGCACAAATGATTGACAAAGTTTTTGTGTAGGTTTGCGTTTGATGAGGGGCCAACTTCATGGAGGTCTGTGAATCCCTCCAGGTCTCAGTCCCTGTCTTCCCCGGAGCGTCTCTCCCTGTTTCAGTCCCTGTCTTCCCCAGAGCGTCTCTCCCTGTCTCAGTCCCTGTCTTGCCTGGGTGTCCCTCCCTGTCTCAGTTCCTGTGCTGGGCTGTTGTTGGAGCAGAGCGTTGTCAGTGTCTTTGAGCTGCTCGTGTTCCTGGAACAGGAGGTTGAAGCTGGACTCAGAGACTCTGTTCACGGGCCCGACCTGTAGCCTGAGCTCAGAGGACAGAGACTCCATCGTCTGAGTCAGGAGCCCTCGCAGATCGTCCAGCTGAGGAGCACACACACAAAACCACACAGACACACACACAAACACACGAAAACACACATACACACATTCGTTCATAACACAAACTACACTGGAGCTACATTACAGCCGTACAGTGACACCACAGCAGAGCACAGATCATCTCTACGAGTCTTAACACAAACGTCTATCTTGGGCTAAACTCACCAACCCTGAGCCGCGCTTCAGCTCAGCTCTGGCTCTGTTTGTCAGTGAGAAAAAACATTCTGACTGTGACTGTTCTACTCTGGTCTGTAACAGATCTGATGTTACAGCCAAGAAGATTTTGCTTGCTGCTGCTGTGGCGCTTCGACCGATCAGATTCAAATATTCGCCGTGCCCTCTGCCTTTTGGCAATAGCGTTCAGCGAGAGTTGTTCTAGAATAAATATGTGTAGAACTCAACTCAGAGTCATACACATATCGATCTGGAGTCAGTCAGGTTGTTATTAGGCTTTTTTTTTTTTTCTTGGTTTATAAATTATGTTGCACGGTTGTCTCTTGGCCCAGTGAGCTTTGCTGTGCTGGGTGTCTCTGTGTCCCTCTGTTCCTCTGTGTGTCCCTGTATGTGTCTCTGTGTCAGTGTGTGTGTGTGTCCCTGTGTGTGTCCCTGTGTGTGTGTCCCTGTGTGTGTGTGTTAGTGTGTGTGTGTGTCCCTGTGTGTGTGTGTCCCTGTGTGTGTGTGTGTGTGTGTCCCTGTGTGTGTGTGTGTGTGTGTGTGTGTGTGTCCCTGTGTGTGTGTGTGTGTGTGTGTGTCCCTGTGTGTGTGTGTGTGTGTCCCTGTGTGTGTGTCCCTGTGTGTGTGTGTGTGTGTGTCCCTGTGTGTGTGTCCCTGTGTGTGTGTGTGTGTGTGTGTGTGTGTGTGTCCCTGTGTGTGTGTGTCCCTGTGTGTGTGTCCCTGTGTGTGTGTGTGTGTGTGTGTCCCTGTGTGTGTGTGTGTGTGTGTGTCCCTGTGTGTGTGTCCCTGTGTGTGTGTGTGTGTGTGTGTGTGTGTGTCCCTGTGTGTGTGTGTATGTGTGTGTGTGTGTGTGTGTGTGTGTGTGTGTGTGTCCCTGTGTGTGTGTGTGTGTGTGTGTGTCCCTGTGTGTGTGTGTCCCTGTGTGTGTGTGTCCCTGTGTGTGTGTGTCCCTGTGTGTGTGTATGTCCCTGTGTCTGACCTGGTCCTGGAGACTCTGTTCTGTGTTCTCAGGTGAAGTCTCCACTCTGTCCCTGAGCTCCTTCAGACTGAGCTGCACTGAGCGCACCTGCACCCTGAACCACACACACACGTACGTGACCACACACACGTGACCACACACACACATGAACCACACACACACACATCTGTACCGATGACTAGATGAGGGGCTGACACAGGGCCGGACCCAAACAGAAGAACAACAGAATAAATCTCCACAGAAACACACATGTACTTCCCACAGGACCCGCCCGAGCTCAGCCCTCCTCTGAACCCTCCTCTGAACCCTCCTCTGAACCCTCCTCTGAACCCTCCTCTGAACCCTCCTCTGAACCTGTTACCTGAGCTTGTTGAACTCTCTCCACATCTCTGCCACCTCAGTCCGGAACATCTCCAGACCTGGGTCTAGTCCTGGGTCTAGTCCTGGTTTTGGTTCCTGGTCTTTATCGCTGCCCCCTGCTGTCTGCTCCTCTGCACTGCCCTTCCTCTGTGAGCCCTCAAACATTCACAAACAGTCCAAATAAAACAGCACTTCATTTTTAAATCAGGGTTAAATTTGAATAAAAGCTCCAGTGGAAATAATGCTGATGATGAGCTTGTTTTGTAGCCACAGCTGACCTGGGGCAGACTGACAGAGGTGAGGCTGCCGGTCTGCACCATGGGCCCCTCTGACCTGATGTCACCAGACAGAACCACACCAGGCACTGGTCCGAGCTTGAACTGTTCCACGGCTCCACACACTGAGCCTCTGGATTTACCCTGAAGTGACACAGGACCAGTGTTGTTCCTTTTTATTTTTCTCTCACTCACCTTGTCCCTGTCGCTCAGGAGGTTTCGGACCAGTGCTCTCAGTTCATCCAGCTCCTCCTTCATAGCCTCAAACACCTCATCAGGACCTGCATCACAAAAGACTGGGTTCATGGTGAAGAACTCACAGGTGTCAGATGGAGCCAGAGCCTAAAGTCTTAGGGCGAGCAGTGTTGGGCAAGTTACAAATACAGTAAATAAAACTAGTTACTAAAACTGTAATATATTTATATTATAATATCAAGGCCCAAAAAATGTACGTTACACACTTTTATCATGGACTAATTTGTATTTCCCAGTTTTTCCATAGAATTGTATTTTATAAAATTACAACTTTCATCTGTTCAAGAAAATGTTGGCTTCATATGAGCGAAGATCTGAAACCAGCTTTGTAAAGCAGCTTTCTCTTGGCCTTAACACAGACCTGGGCATTGTGCAGCTCAGGGCACATAGGGCCCTTTGGTCGACTCTGACTGGCCGCTTTAAGCTCATTCGGAATTACAAAAATAACCATATTTTATCATTTTACCTCATGTATGAACTAAAGCTGCATTGCTTTTATTTTAGAGGTGTTTTTTTTAATTACATTTTATTACAAGGCGACCTCACTTTTTCATTGCTTAGTCATGAGATAAACTCATAAACTCTTCCCAGTCTGAGCAGCTCATCAAAACAAAGATATTTACTGTTTTTTTCTAAAGAAACACAATTAATATTATGCAGAATTGAGTTCAGCATTTTGGCCTCCACAATATTTTCTTTTTCTCATGTGGCCCATGGAAAAAAATTGCTCACCCGTGCTCTAACACACAGACACATTTGTGAGTTTTTAGCGCCAACACGCCCGTCAGTGCACATGATCTCATTCTCAGAGCTGGAGTTCCACAGCAGGAACTCTAAACTGTGTTAACTCAAAGTCAGCGCAGACTGATCTGAAGCTCTGAGTGCTCTGCTGGGACAGTGTGGAGTGAGTTTTTGCTCTGCTGTCTTGTCTCTTGTACCTGTGTTGTGGAGCAGGTCTCGCAGGCGCAGCAGCTCTTGTCTCTCTCTGCTCCTCTCCAGGTCCAGGGCACAGAGTCTCTCCTCCAGACCGTCACAGCGCTGCTTCAGACGCCCGATGTCTCTGAGCGCCTCCAACGTCTCCTGGTGCAAGGAGCTCGCACAGGCCGTCTGCGACAGGCTCTTCAGGGCAGGGACCACGGAAGAGGCCACGGGAGGGACCACGGGAGGAGCTGGGGTGGAGCCAGGGCCCGGGGCTGACAGGGGAAACCAGAGTGAGCAAATGAGAACATACAGAGGAATATAGTGCACTGATACATCACACTGGGGGTCACTGCATGTACTGCTACGTCTAAGGGCCAATGTTCAGCAGTTACCATGGAGACACAATACACACATTAGCAAATACAGTTAAAAAATTTTAAGGTTGTCTGAAAAATCAAGAAAAAATACAAAATGGATTTAAACATTTTTAGGAGCAACGGAAGCGTCCTGTTCAGGAGTTTGATTTTCTACAAAAAGATAAAAGTGACTGAAAGACTGTTGGCTAATGCTGACTCGTGACTGTAACGCTATAAATCTTTTTCACAGTGGTCTGAATTGTTCTGCTGTAGGTTTGTAGGACTTCAGGTTAATTGTTTTCTGTGTAAATGTGTGTGTAAATGTGTGTGTAAATGTGTGTGTAAATGTGTGTGTAAGGCTGCGTTCAGACTGCAGCCTGAAGTGACCCAAATCAGATTTTTTGGCTTCTATGTGACCTGTATCTGATCTTTTAATGACAGTCTGAACAGCACAGATCCGAATTTTTCAAATGTGACCCAGGCCACTTGGATATGTGCTCCTGAATCTGATACATATCCGATCTTTTGACATGCGACTTCAGTCTGAACGGCCAAAGCGCATCCATCCGACCTATACGTCATTAACAAGCGACAAACGTCACTATTCTGCGCTGAAGCAGGCGGAAACCGGAACTGTAAAATCGCCAGGTGCTCAATGCTCGCGACCATATTTGGACAACTTCCGTAAACACAGATCACGCTTGCTGCGCTTGATGCATGGGGTTGACGTCATCGTGTCCTCCAGTGCGCATGCGGGACACTTTCGGGCCGTTTACCGTTCACACTGAAGTCACAGACAAGTCGCATTTAATTGGAAATGTGAACGACCTCGCAAAAACATCGGATTTCACAAAAAAATCGGAATTGAGCATTAAGCCCTGCAGTCTGAACGTAGCCTAAATGTGTGTGTAAATGTGTGTGTAAATGTGTGTCGGGAGCTGTGTTCAGACTGCAGCCTGAAGTGACCCAAATCCGATTTTTTGTCTCTATGTTCCTGTATCTGATCTTTTAATGACAGTCTGAACGACACAGATCCGATTTTTTCAAATGTGACCCAGGACACTTGGATCTGTGCTCCTGAAACTGATACATATCTGATCTTTAACATGTGACTTCAGTGTGAACGGCCAAATGCATTCATCCACCTACACGTTATCAACAACGTCACTATTCTGCGCTGAAGTAGGAGAAAATTGTTAATGAACTCCATGTCACTGAAGTGAAGCACATCACCACTCACCACTCTTGGCTCCGTCTCCACATCCACACGTTCCTTTCAACGGACTGAACCACAAAACACCACGGCCAAAAACCTCGTCCTTCTCCTTCTCAATCTCCTCCTTAAAACAAGTAAGTTGTTCATGTTCTGGCTCCGGTACGAGAGGAACTTTAAAATCTCCAGGTGCTCGATGCTGCGTCCATGTTTGGACAACTTCCGTAAACACAGAGACGCTCGCTGCGGTTGACGTCGTCGTGTCTCCAGTGTCACATGCGGGACACTTTTGGGCCGTTTAATGTTCACACAGGGGATCGCATACAAGTCGCATTTAACTGGAAATGTGAACGACCTTGAAAAAACATCAGATTTCACAAAAAAATCTGAATTGAGCATTAAGCCCTGCAGTCTGAACGTAGCCATATTCTCCAGCAGCTTCATAAATCTTCCCCATCACCAAATCTTCAACCAACAAGCTCCACAAAGGATAAACATTCTTCATGAACAATTTATCCACAACTATCAAGAGAAGAAAGAACAAAACTTAAAGGAAACAACGAGCCACATTAGTGACACACTGAACAAAACTTTTGTTATGATCATGAAGAAAACAGAAGGAACTTGTTCACTCAGACTCATTCTACTATTAAAATTAAAAATCGATTTCTTGATGAAGATTTGGCAGAGATAGATTTGTGCAGTTCGAATGTGAGGCGTCTCTAGGATCTAGGGGTGTGCAAAAATATCGGAATATCGATATATCGTATAGTTTAATGTGATGATACAGTATCGATATCGTGGGCTACTGTATCGATATATCACCAAGAGTATTTTTTGGTATATTTTACTAAATTATTTTGTTACAGCGCTACAGTTTTGTTGCTTGTGGAGTAAAAGGAAGCTCATTTATTCAACACATTTGACATTTTTACTGTTTTGATGATTAAAATGTTTGTGTTTCATATGAACTTTGCACAAGAAGTGGTTTAACAAACACTTTAAGTGTCACAGCCATGATTTAGACTTTATTTTTTATTGAACCGTATCGAATCAATTTGAAATATATCGTATCAAATCGAAAGTGCACTGTATCGAGATATGTATCGTATCGTGGCCTGTGTATTGAGGTATGTATCGTATCGGCAACTTCTTAATGATACCAGCCCTACTAGGACCATAACATTAGTTTTGTTCAGTGTGTGACTAATGTGGCTCGTTGTTTCCTTTAAGTTTTGTTCTTTCTTCTCTTGATCGTTGTGGATAAATTGTTCATGATGAATGTTTATCCTTTGTGGAGCTTGTTGGTTGAAGATTTGGTGATGGGGCAGATTTATGCAGCTGGAGGAGACTTTTCAAAACACAGACATTTCCACACAGAAAACCGTTAACCAGAACTAACTTGAGAAACAGAGCGTCAGACAAAGCAGTGCCTCCAGTCAGCTTCACCTCCCTAAAGGCGACCGCGGTATTTGTCATAAAACTGTTGTTACAGACAGTCGAGGTTTACCGTCTTTGGCCTCTGTCCCCGTCCCGGACTCTTTGGTTTGGGTTTTAGACGGAGGAGGAGGAACATGTGACGTCTTCGGTTCAGTTTTGGTCACGTTTTCATCTTTCGTGGTCTGAACGAGGCCCTGGAAAACAAACACACGATCACAGTTTACAGTGAGAACTAAACAAATGAAACACTGCTAGTGATAAGTAAGTAGGGGTGGGCGATATATCGATATTTTAAATATATCGAGATAGTTTTTAAACTCGATATGAATTCTGACATATCGTATATATCGATATAATGCTTATATTAAATTTAGATTTCGCCGCTTCGCTTGTTTATCTTCTCTCTCGTCGCCTCCGCTCGCCCCCGCCTCCCTGATTTTGTTTGCTCGTGTCTCCTTCACTCGTCACTATCGCCGTGAACGCAGAAATTTGGTGCCAGTGAAAAGCTTCAAGCACCACGAACCTTTTCCACCATTTACAGACAAAACCATCAGCAGCACATCCTCATATTCCACCGAGTCGCGTAATTTAGCCCGAAAGAAGCTGAACAAGCTGAGCTGCATGAGAAGTGAGCTGTTTATGCAAATGAGCCATGTGCTTAAGTTTCGTTTCTCAGAGCTCCTGATGCTGGTGAGGAACATGGATCTGTTAAAATAAGGAACATCCTGAGCTTCTTCTGCTAAAGGAGCTCATGGTTCTGGTTCTGGTCTGGAGAACAGAGTTAATGCAAAGATGAGCTTGTGTTGAGTTGTTTTATTTATGAATGAAAAGAAGGAAATATGTTTTATTTATTTTATTTTACATAAAATTATTATTTATGTAATTAGGGTTTTTTTGTAATCTTAAATGTTCCTGTATGAACTGCCGACCTCTTACACTTCAATTAAAAAAAAAAAAGGACCTTGTGGAATTGGCAGATTTGCTTTTTGTAGTTTTCAGTTTTAGGGGGTTATTTTTTCTTGAACATATATCGAGATATATATCGTATATCGAGATATAGCAAAATATATCGAGATCTATTTTTTGATCCATATCGCCCAGCCCTATAAGTAAGAAATGTTATTTTAATATAAACACTGAAATCATCGAAGTTTGGTGAAAGACGTTTATGGACACAAAGGAGCACTACCGACTAACACCACGAGCGAAAATCTAAAGAAGCAGAATCACGAAGCTGTTAAAAAGTGAAAAAGTGATTACACAGTTGATATTATGTTGGTGACAGTTTGAATATGAATCGTTTAAGCTGTAAAATGAGTTAAAAATGAAAAGTGAAAAGTGAGACCTTGTGTAGGTTCTGTCTCTCTGTGATGAGGGCGGACTTCATGGCCTCCCAGGTCACGTAGCGCTCGTCCTCCTCTGGACGCCTCTGGAACAAACCACAGACACTGAGTCCCTCTGAAGGTCACAGGTCAGGAGGTCAGGAGGTCAGGAGGTCAGGAGAGGCCAGGAGGTCAGGAGGTCAGGGCTGATCTGTGTCATACAGTTCTATGCTCTTGCTCCTCTGTCTCTAATTCTACTGTCTCTTCTCTCTCTCTGTTGTGTCTCTTATCTCTTCTTTTTCACTGCTCTCTCTTTCTCTCTAGTACTTCTCTTTCTCTCCCTCTCTTCTCTCTGTCTCTTTTCTCACTCCTCTCGTTCCCTCTTCTCTGTCTCTCTGCTCTCTTCTCACTCCTCTTTCTCCTCTCTCTGTCTCTCTTCACTCCTCTTTCTCCTCTCTCCGTCTCTCTTCTCACTCCTCTCTCTCTCTCTCTCTCTGCTGTCGCGATCTCTACTCTCTCGACCTCTCCTAACTTCTCTCCCTCCCTCTTCTGTTTCTCTCTTCTCACTCCTTTCTCTCTGCTCTCTCTAATCTCTCCTCACTCCTCTTCTCTCTACTCTCTCCTCCCTCTCACTCTTCTCTCTGTATGTCTCTCTTCACACTCCTCTTTTTCCTCCCTCTCCTCTCCCTCCCTCTTCTCTCTCTCTCCTCTCTTCTTTGTCTCTCTCTTCTCACTCCTCTTCTCTCTGTCTCTCACCTCCCTCTCCCTCTTCTCACTCCTCTTATCTCTGTCTCTCTCCTCTCTTCTTTGTCTCTCTCTTCTCACTCCTCTTCTCTCTGTCTCTATCCTCTCTCTCCCTCTCCTCTCTGTGTCTCTTCTCTTTCTCCTCTCTCTGCTGTCGCTGCCTCTCTACCGGCTCGATCTCTCTTCTCACTCCTCTCCCTCCCTCTTCTCTCTCTGTCTCTCGCCTCTCTTCTGTTTCTCTCTTCTCACTCCTCTTCTGTATCCTTACTCTCTCTTTTTCTCTCTTCTCACTCCTCTTCTCTCTCTCTGTGCTCTTTGTCTCTCTACTCTCTGCTTCTGTCTTCTCACTCCTCTTCTGTATCTTTACTCTCTCTTCTCTTCTTTTTGTCTCTCTACTCTCTGTTTCTCTCTTCTCAGTCTCTCTCTTCTCACTCCTCTTTCTCTCTACTCTCTGTTTCTCTCTTCTCTTCTCTGTCTCTCTACTCTCTCTCTTCTCTGTCTCTCTACTCTGTCTCTCTACTCTCTGTTTCGCTCTTCTCGCTCCTCTTCTCTGTCTCTCTACTCTCTCTCTTCTCTGTCTCTCTACTCTGTCTCTCTACTCTCTGTTTCGCTCTTCTCGCTCCTCTCTGTCTCTCTACTCTGTTTCTCTCTTCTCTGTCTCTCTACTCTGTTTCTCTCTTCTCTGTCTCTCTCCTTCTCTCTCTGTCTCTCTCCTCCCTCTCACCCTTCTCTCTGTCTGTCCATCTTCTCACTCCTCTTTTTCCTCTCTCTCTACTGTCTCTGTCTCTGTCCTTCTCTCTCTCTGAGACAAAAATCAGGTCCTCGTGACGTAAACTCTTTATTATCAGGCCAAAGTTCAAATATGAGTGAAATAGTTTGAGGTCAGAGTTTTGGTTTAGAGTCTGTGGTCAAGGTTAGGATAAATCTCCAGGAAATAAATGGAGGTGAATGTAAAAATGCAGTCAGTAAAGCGTGTAAAGTGTGTTCTGCACCGACCACGGCCTCCTCCAGAGCGTCGACTCTTCGGCCGTGACTCTCCAGCGACGTGACCCACTGAGCCTGAGCTGCAGACGCCTGGAACACATCACACAGAGCTCCGTTTACCTTCATCCACACGCTCAAGTTAAGAAATACATTTGTCATTTTAGTTTTAACTCTGATAGTCAGGGAGAGGGTCTGCGGTTCTGACCTTGTCCTGTTGGTGGCGCAGTTCCCTCACGTTGTCCTGGAGGTGCTCTGTCTGTTTCTGTATTCTGTGAATCAGCTCCAGTACATGTTTGTCGTCACCAACGCTCTCCTGAGAAACACAGAACAATCACAGAACTCATGAGTCAGTTGGAAGCTTTAAAACGTCTGACGCCATCACACAATAAATACACTCTGGTCGACGTCTGAGTCGGTGTTCTGTCGAAATGAGCTCCCGGCAGCCTAAATCTATAAATCTATAATATTTAACTTGAATATCACTTTCTATGAAAATATAATGATATTTTATTTATACATCACCTTTCTAAAGAAAGTCAAACATTTTCTACACATGAAAACAAAATAAAGTACAATGTAAAGAAAATTATCATGATAACATATAATATTAAATCCAAACTTTTCAATCATCTAATGTAGGTTTTCTGCCCCAAATCTAACACTCACACGCTGCTTAACTGGTCCAAACACACAATAATACAGTTTTAAGTCCTGTTTTAGTCCTGGTTTAGTCCTGGTTTAGTCCTGGTTCAGTCCTGGTTCAGTCCTGGTTCAGACCTAATTCAGTCCTGTTTTAGTCTTGGTTCAGTCCTGATTTATTCCTGGTTCAGTCCTGGTTCTGTCTTGGTTCAGTCCTGGTTCAGTCCTGTTTTAGTTCTGGTTCAGTCCTGGTTCAGACCTGGTTCAGTCCTGGTTCAGTCCTGGTTCAGTCCTGGGTTAGTCCTGGTTCAGTCCTGATTTATTCCTGGTTCAGTCCTGGTTCTGTCTTGATTTATTCCTGGTTCAGTCCTGGTTCTGTCTTGATTTAGTCCTTGTTCAGTCATGGTTTAATCCTGGTATCACATTTGCTGCTCCTTGCACTTCTAAGCCACATTCTGTTGTATTTACACATGTGTAATGACAATAAAGTTGAATCTAATACAATTTTTGACCTGATCCCTGCCAACAGTAAAAAGAAACATAAACTGTCATTTGTTTTGATAAAATACAGAAAAGCTGCTTCAAAATGACCAAAACAGAAAGAAAACGTGACTATACTGACCACAGAATTACACACTCAGTTTTATTTTTACCAAACACCACAAACCAGGACGTCCCAGTTTTTTATTTCTCGTATTTGGCGTTTGTTCTAAAATAAGTCTGAATTCCGCGCGCTCTGCCGTGTCAGTAAAATCTGTCACTGTTTTGTGTTTGTCGTCGTGGAAACGCTGTGACCTCTGACCTCATCAGCTCCGGGCGAGGGTCGTGTTGGTGTCGGTGTGACGGACGCGGCCGGGACGTGTCGGGGCTTGTGCGTGTGGGAATGTCTAACAGAGGGTCAGTGAACGCACCACGGCCCAAAACAAACACCGCCGTTTCACTCGGAGTCAAAAAGTCATTAGAGGACGGAGCGGTGAGGCAGGTGCAGCGCCTGTCGCACCTTTAACCCCGTCTCACTCAGCTGTGCACAGAGGTCAGGAAAAAAAAAAAAAAAAAACATTTATTCTCCTCATTTTGACGGATTCTTGAGAGTTTTTATGTTGACGAGGGAAACAGACACGAGGAGAACGTGCAAACTCAAACTCAAACAGCAGGGGGCGCAGGAATGTCCCTTTGGCTCAATCTGCAGATGATTAACAAACCACAGGAGACCAAGACCGAGTCACTGAACCAGGACTAAACCAAGACTGAACCAGGACTGAACCAGGACTGAACCAGGACTGAACCAGGACTGAACCAGGACTAAACCAGGACTGAACCAGGACTAAACCAGGACTAAACTGAACCAGGACTGAACCAGGACTGAACCAGGACTGAACCAGGACTAAACCAGGACTGAACCAGGACTAAACCAGGACTGAACCAGGACTAAACCAGGACTAAACCAGGACTGAAACCAGGACTAAACCAGGACTAAACCAGGACTGAACCAGGACTGAACCAGGACTGAACCAAGACTAAACCAGGACTGAAACCAGGACTAAACCAGGACTGAAACCAGGACTGAACCAGGACTAAACCAGGACTGAAACCAGGACTGAAACAGGACTAAACCAGGACTAAACCAGGACTGAACCAGGACTGAACCAGGACTAAACCAGGACTAAACCAGGACTAAACCAGGACTGAACCAGGACTGAACCAGGACTAAACCAGGACTAAAACAAGACTAAACCAGGACTGAACCAAGACTAAACTAGAACTAAATCAGGACTAAAGCAGGACAAAGCACCAGGTCTGAACCTGGTTTCCAGGTCTGTTCCAGGTCTGTTTCAGGTCTGTTCCAGGTCTGTACCAGGTCCAGGTCTGGTCTGGGGGTCGTTGGAGGTCAGGGTCTGGTCCAGGTCTGGTCCAGGTCTGGTCCAGGTCCGGGTCTGGTCTGGGGGTCGTTGGAGGTCAGGGTCTGGTCCAGGTCTGGTCCGGGTCTGGTCTGGGGGTCGTTGGAGGTCAGGGTCTGGTCCAGGTCTGGTCCGGGTCTGGTCTGGGGGTCGTTGGAGGTCAGGGTCTGGTCCGGTCTGGTCCGGGTCTGGTCTGGGGGTCGTTGGAGGTCAGGGTCTGGTCCGGGTCTGGTCCGGGTCTGGTCCGGGTCTGGTCTGGGGGTCGTTGGAGGTCAGGGTTAATCCGTGCGTCGGCTCTGACAGGAACATGAATGATTCAGGCTGAACTCTGTGGACCTTTTCATGGAGCTCTCTGCAGGAGGCTAATTACACCTCGACTCTGCAGCGCCACGGCCCAACACGGACCACAGACAGACCGGGACCAGACTAAAGACCGGGACCTGACACGGACCGGGACCTGACACGGACCTGACACGGACCGGGACCTGACACAGACAGACCGGGACCAGACCAGAGACCAGAGACGAGAGCCAAAGACCAGACCAGACTGGGACCAGACTGGGACCAGACCAGACCTGACACAAACTGGGACCAGAGACCAGACCAGGACCAGACCAGAGACCAGAGACAGACCAGAGAACAGAGCCAGACCGGGACCAGACCAGAAACAGACAGAAACCAGACACAGACTGGAACCAGACCAGAGACCAGAACCATAGACCAGACAGACCGGAACCAGACTAAAGACCAGAGACAGACCACAGACCAGAGACCAGAGACCAGACCAGAGACTAGAGACAGACCGGAACCAGAAACAGACTGGAACCAGACCAGAGACCAGAACCATAGACCAGACAGACCGGAACCAGAGACCAGAGACCAGAGACCAGAGACCAGAGACCAGAGACCAGACCAGAGACAGACCATAACAAGAGACCAGATCAGAGACCACAGACAGACCGGAACCAGACTAGAGACCAGAGACAGACCAGAAACCAGAGACCAGACCAGAGACACACCAAAGACCAGAGACCAGACTAGAGACAGACCAAAGACCAGAGACCAGATATGAGCCAGACCAGAAACCAGATCAGAGACCAGAGACAAACCAGAACCAGAGACCAGAAACAGACCGGAACCAGACTAGAGACCAGAGACAGACCAGAAACAGAGACCAGACCAGAGACCAGGACCAAGACCAGAGACCAGACTAGAGACAGACCAAAGACCAGAGACCAGACTAGAGACAGACCAAAGACCAGAGACCAGACCAGAGACAGACCAAAGACCAGAAACCAGACCAGAGACAGACAGACCAGAGACCAGACCAGAGACAGACCAAAGACCGGAGACCAGACCAGAGACAGACCAAAGACCGGAGACCAGACCAGAGAGACAGACCAAAGACCAGAGACCAGACTAGAGACAGACAGAAGACCAGAGAGACCAGACTAGAGACAGACCAGACCAGAGACAGACCAGAGACAGACCAAAGACCAGAGACCAGACCAGACTAGAGACAGACCAAAGACCAGAGACCAGACTAGAGACAGACCAAAGACCAGAGACCAGATAGAGCCAGACCAGAAACCAGATCAGAGACCAGAAACAGACCGGAACCAGACAGAGACCAGAGACAGACCAGAAACCAGAGAACCAGACCAGAGACACACCAAGACAGACCAGAGACCAGACTAGAGACAGACCAAAGACCGGAGACCAGAGACCAGAGACAGACCAAAGACCGGAGACCAGACCAGAGACAGACCAAAGACCCAGAGACCAGACTAGAGACAGACCAAAGAGACCAGACTAGAGACAGACAGAGACAGACCAAAGACCAGAGACCAGACTAGAGACAGACCAAAGACCGGAGACCAGACTAGAGACAGACCAAAGACCGGAGACCAGACCAGAGACAGACCAAAGACCGGAGACCAGACTAGAGACAGACCAAAGACCGGAGACCAGACCAGAGACAGACCAAAGACCAGACCAGACCAGAGAAGAAGACCAGAAACCAGATCAGAGACCAGAGACAAACCAGAACCAGAACCAGAGACCAGAAACAGACCGGAACCAGACTAGAGACCAGAGACACACCACCAAAGACCAGAGACCAGACTAGAGACAGACCAAAGACCAGAGACCAGACTAGAGACAGACCAAAGACCAGAGACCAGACTAGAGACAGACCAAAGACCAGAGACCAGACTAGAGACAGACCAAAGACCAGAGACCAGATATGAGCCAGACCAGAAACCAGATCAGAGACCAGAGACAAACCGGAACCAGAACCAGAGACCAGACCAGAGACCAGAAACAGACCGGAACCAGAGACCAGGGCCCAGAGACCTGATGGAGAGAGGCAGGTCCGGTATAACTCATATCTTTTGTTCTTTTTCATACAACAATAACATGTGAGCTGTGGACCGTTCAAAAGTTGTTATTTGTAAAAACAAAAAGAATCTAATAAAGTTACAGATGGAAGACATATTTTCACATAAGACCCATTCACACAGAGTTCCTGAAAAAGCAGCACGTGTGACGGGGT